CAGCCATGGTTGAGGGTCCCCTCCTCCACGTGTGTCTAGGGGCTGCAGCCGGCCCCTGGCAGCGTGGGACAGGGTCTCAGGGCTGGCGGGGGGCTGTGAGCACTGGGAGCTCATCTCCTTTCCCTCTGCCCCAGCCATCCCCCCGGTGATTATGAACGCACTGGAGAAGAGAGCTTTCCTGAAGGTACTGGTGGTCCTGGGACAGGAGGGTGGGCAGAGGGGCCACCCCCTAGCTTGTCACAGTGCTGGCACCTCGTTGGGGTACAGGCACCTTTCCACCCCATCTGCCCCACTGACGCACAGCCTCTCCCTGTTGCTGGCAGCGGTACCCGTACCTGAACGCTCCCCTGCAGGTCGGCCTGGTGGGACTCTGGTAAGTCACCCTCAGCCGATGGACATTGCCGCCCCGGGCGCAGACCGAGCCTGGGTATGGGGGGGAGTGCTGCTGGGGGGTCTGCTTAGCAGGGGAGGTGGGAGTGACCCCAGAGGTCATTGGGGGGATGAAGCTGGTGCCCCCCCAGGCAAATAGGATGGGAGGTCCTGGGGCTGGGAGGTGTTTTGCTCCATCTTGATGTCTCTCAAGCCTGCCATGGGTTCCTGCTCAGCATTGCTGTTCCCCCACACTGATGGGGACAGGCTTTGCCCCACTTCAGGAGCCGAATGCAGGGTCTGGAGTCTAGAGAGGGCATCTTTTTACCCTTTTCCTGGATGAGCACCCAGCACGGCTCTGGGTTGCCTCCTTGCTGCTCTGGGATCAGGCCACGAGTGGGAGCAGGTGGTTTATGCAGCCCAGCTTCTCTCCGTGTCTTTCCCTTGCAGCTTGGTGTTCGCGACCCCACTGTGCTGCGCGCTTTTCCCGCAGAAAAGGTAAGGACGGGCACCTTGCCTGCGTGTGTGCCCCCTGCGTGGGGCAGGGCATGGGGTGCAGGTGGGGGGTGCGTGGGCTCCTTGTGCTGAATGCCAAGAGATGCTTTTGCTCCTTCGAGTAGTCAGAGGCTTGAAACTGTGCGCACACATGTCCCTGTGCACACACAGCAGTTCAGACCCAAAGGTCTGTGCTGGGCCATGGAGACGATGTCCTTGTGGGGTGCAGCAGGTGGTTTCCCAACATGAGGCCGCCAGTGGGTATCCCCTTTCCATGCTCTGTATCCGTGTCCCCTCGGCAGCTCAATGCCCGTGAGCCGCCTGGAGCCTGAAGTCCGAGCTCGGATCCGGGAGAAAGACCCACACCTGGAGACTGTCTACTTCAACAAAGGGCTCTGAATGGAGGGACCAGGGCGGCCAAGATGCGTGCTGTGGAG